TTTTTCAGTTTAAAATATATAGATTTAAAAAAAATTATAATGAAATTTTAAATAATTAATTTAGTTATTATTTTAAATTTAGATTATAAAAATGTATTTAAAATTAAATTTAAAGAATAAAATTGAATAAAATTAATTTTAAATAAAATATTTAAAAAAAAAAGAAAATATTATGATAAATAACAACTTTAGATAAAAACAATATTAATTGAGATGAACAAGTTGAAATAAAAATAAAATACAGTAAAATACATTTTTGAAAGGAACAAACTTTCCAACCCCAAGGAACATGTTATGCATACAATAGTAAAATAAGAACACATAAATTATACAGTCCACGATCAAAGGGCAAACTTTTAATACGAAACAAAACTCATATTGGTAAAAGAATTTTTAAAAAAAATGCAGAAAAAGAAAGAGGGTAAATAATAATAAATAGAAAAAATATACTGTAAGAATAAGAAGAAGACTACAATAATAAGAGTTGTAAAACACAGACCACACAATGATTAGAGGAGTAAAAGTAGAAGACAAGATGAAGAATAAAAAAAGTCAAAAGGATGGACCGAGAGTTTATTTTTGTTTTATATGGAGAAAAATTTGTAAACCTTACTTCCGTTTCCTTAGAAATACAAAAAAAAATTGTAAATCTTATTTTGACATGTCATAAAAATTAAAATAATAAATTCATTTTCTTTTGCTTGGACGAGAGCATTCTTGCTAAATGCTAATTCATTAAGGTAGAGACTGCTCTTATTTATGGTACAATGACCCAGACGATATTAATGATGAAAGAGATTTAAAAAAATTAAATATAAAATAAAATATATCTTTTTAATATTATGAGTACTTTTATAAATAATATATAGATTTCAAAATTTAGCATTTTTAACTAAATTAAAAAACTTCTTTAATTACAATGAATTAGACAACTGAATTTAAAATAAATAAAAAAAACGCAGAAAGAGTACTATCAATGAATCGGAAATATTAGTTACATTTTTTTTGTTAAATATAGATTCTTTTATTAAATTTAGTTAAAAACATAAAATGAGATAGAGGAGGTTACTTTTAATAAATTTTAGTTAATAATAAAAAAATATTAAAAAGTGATATTAGAGAATATATTATTAATTAATATTTATTTTATTCTAAACATAATGCTAACAAAATTATAAAAAAAAACTTAAAAGTATAATATTTAGTATACACTATAAACAAGCTTTTATTTTCACATAATATTGTTATTATTGTAACGGTTACTTATAAAAAAAAATAACAAGAAATGTCGATGAAGGTATTATTTGACGATAAACAGTTTTGCAAAATGTAGTGTTAAAAAGAATCAGAAATGGCGGTAACAATCATACAACTTTAATATCTGTCATGGGTTTTATTCTGGCTAATTTTACTAACAGTCTTCTTAATTATATATATATATATATATATATATATATATAAG